GGCTACCCCCTGATACTTGACCCCGGTATTCACACTCTACACACTATTGTAATAATAATAAAAGGCAGGCCTTGTAAGGTATCATTTGAAAAAAACTCATAATTTGATGGTCAATATTGTCCTGAGCAAATATGAGTGGCAACACTTTACGTAAGGTTATAAGATTCCCCTGTATGATGTTATTAACACAAGTTCCACACCCCACAGTGCTGGCCAAGCAGAAGTCAGCAAACAGGTCTGTTGTAAACAAAGGAATGTGTGCTTCCCTTAATGTTCATTTAAATAGTAAATAGAGTCATCAAGCAGAGAGGGGAAAAAAAAGAAGCTCAAACAGGCGGGGCAAAAAATCCAGGAACATCCTTCCCCATAAAACATTTGTCTGCTAGTTCCCAGTTGAAAATGTTTTTCAAGAGTGGTATTGAAACTAAAAAAAAAGAAGGTGAAAACACCACAAGACACTCCACCCCTGCCCCTACCTATTTCTGGCATTGCACTTAAAACGACAAAGGAAAACAAACATTGGACTTCAGGGAGCTCCTGACCTGAAGAATTTGGTCAGTAACCTGGATGGAAATATGTGGAGAGAAATTTTCCTTAAATCTAATATAGTTTGCTAAGTTAGGCACAAGTAAGTGTTTTATCTTTATTTTTCTTGTAACCATTTCCAAATGTTATGCCTCATTACTTGTACTAATTTAAAATCTATTCCTCTGTAATTAATAAACATGATCTACAGTTTTGTCTAATCCAGTGTATTTAAGCTGAAGTGTCTGGGTAACTCTATTTTAAGGTAACAAGCTGGCATATTATTCCCTTATAAGAATAATGGACTTTATATATTTGTACTGTCCAAGAGAGGGCTGGCAGTAGAGGACATATATTTCTGGGGAAAATCTGGGACTGGGGGTGTGTTGGGGTCAAACTGCAGTATAAACAAGCCTGGTGACAGCCAGCAGGTACACACAGACACTCAGGGCCAAAGCTGAGTGACCACTTCAGACTGTGATTTGTCCAAGGGAAGGGGCTAGATGAAGACTGGCAGTGGGCCACTGAGGCAAGGTGGGATTAAGGGATTAGGGTTTGCCGGGGAGGACCCCTGAGTGTGGGGGCACTGTTGCGAGACAGTACCCCAGAGAAGGGGCACTGTGGGCTGGGGGGATGTGGGGCCTGAAGTACAGTGGCGAGGTGGAGACCAGGAAGCAGGTACCTGTAGAGAGATACGGGCCAGCAGGAGGAGCTTTGAGGCTGGATGAGCTAATTCCCGGACTGACCAGCAGGAGGCACCATGGCAGTGAATGAACGGTGTGCTACAAGGAACAATACCAACTAAATCACCCCAGCCAGAGCTTTGTCAAGCCGAGCCTTAAAATCCTCTAAGAATGGAGATTCCACACCCCGCCCCAGGTAACAAATTCCAGTGCTTCACCACCCTCCTAGTGAAATAGTGTTTCCTAATATCCAACCTAGACCTCCGCCACTGCAACTTGAGACCATTGCTCCTTGTTCTGTCATCTGACACCACTGAGAACAGCCGAGCTCCATCCTCTTTGGAACCCCCCTTCAGGTAGTTGTAATATAAATGAAAACGTACCTGTTTCCTGTTCAAGTTTCCCTGCCAAATAAAAACAGTTATTTCACTGTGTGCATAGTTTTCAGACTGGACACAGAGCTATTATTTCTATTGTGGATTCTTGTGAGCAGTTGAACTCAATGTCTCCATGTAACCTTCTCTTCACCATCAAGTACAGGGAAGGGATTGTGGCCTGAGCCTGGAGCGGTTTAGCAGCCACCTGTTCAGACACGAAAGCTCCTGCATTTCCTATTGCAATTGAACTGGAAATAGATGAAGTTGGTAGGAATGAGCCTGAGCCTCAGTGTTCAAATGAGATTCTGAAGGCTTCCACTGTTTAAGAGAAAATGTGACTTGTCGTTAGTTTCAGTCCCATATCTTGGTAACAATATCTCTGTGTAAATCAATGTGTTGGGTTTGAACTATGAAACTTTAAAATAATTTAGATTTTGAGTGACCTCAGAAATCAGCTTTTTCCCAAGGCGATGTCCCAGCAGCTGCAACAAGTTGAAATACTGAGCTAACAGTTGCCTGGATTTAATAAGGAAGGGGCTGGATACTACTCATTTTTGGTGAAGGACCCTCAGCTTCAGCAGTTGCTTCCCTTTTCACCCATCAAAGCTCAGAATTGTTGATATTAAAGACATACTGAAACTTCGCCTTTTCTCCCAGGCATTTGCCTGGGAAAGATGAATTAGTAGGTAGTATTGGGTGGTGGGATGAACTTGGAGGAGGAGTGCAAGGGGGGGAGGGCAGTTGGGATGTTTTCTCATGTTTGATGTTTTTTCCCTGCTGTATCCTTCACCAAATATTGTACAAACCACGGAGTTCTGGATGAGTTCATTTACAGTAATTATCACTAATATACTTATAATTATTCAGAAATTGTTCCATTTTCTCTGTTAGCATTTCAGATTACAATGTTGTTGGTGTATGATTCCTGCAATGTATGTTATGGACGAACTATATTTCCTAGAGAGGATGGACACAGGAAAAGAGCAACACAGCAACATTGAACCACTGAACTATAACACTACATAAGTGTAAGTCCTGAGAAACAAATTAGAGTCTGGACTATCTATACCATAAAATGGATGTCAACCTTCAGTATCTCCTTCCTGAATTGTTGGGCAGTTCTGTACTAAAGTCTACTGGCTCATTTATTGCAAGAAGATCCAAATACACACACGCTTCCTTGTATGTGGAATCTCATTCACTGGAGCTCCAGTTAGCAGCAAGAGTGTGGCTACACATCTGTTTGCAGGGTCAACAATTAGGATATTTCAAAACCAAAATGCTTCCAATTTTTTCTGAGGGTAGTAAGATGTATACAATTTTGAAAAATACAATTAATATATGTATGTGGTATAAATCTTCTATATTTTGCTGAAATTGCTTCAATATCCAGGTAAACTTACTTATTCTTTCCATCAATGATCCTAAAGGAGACAGAGAGAGAGTGTGATTTAAATTTGTAATTGTATATTCTCTAAATCTAGTTAACTGTATTAATTAAAAAATCTCCTAAATTAGAAGGTATAAAACAACCATGAAAATCTAAACACTTACTAGTTTTTGTCTAGCAGAGAATGATAATAACACATAGAGCACAGCATGTCCCTGGCAGAGCCAGGAATAGAACCTAGTTATCCTGATTGCATTTGGATAAATACCGCACAAAGCTACTCTCCAACCTTCTTTTTGTTCATAGACAGGTTCACTGTGACTGTAACCCTGCCTCTTGTGTTCTAATTTCTGTGACGATTCCAGCAAATATGTTTGCATTCTCCTGAGCACTGGTATGTAAAGGGAGAATATTCATGAAAGTGAGATTATAGTCTCCTGGAACTTCCCCAGTACTCTAAAACTTAATGAAAATCAGCATTAACTCTCCAATGAGCTTCTCAGCAAGCTCTTTTGAAACTCTTTGATGCAAGTTACCTGGATCTGCTGATTGAAAAATGTCTAACTTTAGTAGCTTCTATTTAACTTCCTACAGAGAAACTAGTGGAATGGAAAAATGATGAGACATGTCAATTGTCCTTTCACAGTCCCAACATGAGAGTGCCTTAGCCCTGTCCTTGGGGACACCTGCAACAAGTTTGAGGGGAATACAGAATTGATGGCTCATACAGCCCTTGGACTTCCTTGTGAGTTTATGTGTAACTGACTATCTTTACATGTCAGGTATATGTAAAGATACATAGATGAACATGGCCAGTTGTGAATTCCACTCTTTATGGACCACCCAATTACCATCAGATGGCAACAGTTTCTCCCAAATATTGGTGCTGAATCTCAATAATATTTAGTATTCACATTTCATGGCTACACATCAGAAATCATATTTAGAATCTCCCAATCATCTGGCCTCCTCTGATCATCAGGTTGAAAGCCACCTTTCATAGTTATTAATAGTAACTCACCCTTTTCCCCCTCAGGAATATCTGGAAAATAAATACATAGAGTCAAACTTTCTACAAATGCACTTTGCATGGGCAAAAATGTTTAGCTGTGCTCTCACAGTATGGTGCAAAGCTGGGTTAGGTGCTAAGGGGGATTTTCCAAAGCAGTGTGTCAGGTTTCTCCAAGTCCCCTGAGCACTCTCCATCCTGGGCAATCCCTGAGGGTGAGGCTAGGGCATGCGAAAAGTGATAGATCCCTCCTGAACCATAGGCTTCCAGTCTTGACAGTTACCATTGTGCCTGGCCACAATGCCATAGACATAGCATGGAGGGAGAATGGACGTTGACTGGATTAGAACATGCTGCCTCTGCAGACGAGGATTCTATGCACACAGGAAAAGATTGACTAACAAGGCCACAAGATTCTGTAGCCCAGTACTTAGCATACTCATCTAGGAGGGGGAGACCCAGATTCCAGTCCCTTTCTCCAGTGACTGTCTAATTACCCAATAATCTTCAAAAGGCAGATTAGAATTACATTATGTATGAAATTGTGCTAAACTATGAGCTTCATAGTGTTCTTTGGGTTGTGTGACCTCCACCCCTGTGTGACCTCCACCATCCACCTTATTAAAGCTGTGTGATCTCCACCCCTTATTTAAAATGGCCATGAGAGACAGCTAAACAGCCCCACCTAAAACAAAGGGAGTATGTCAGGGTTCCCACCCCACTCTGAATTCTGGGGTACAGATGTGGGGAGTCTCATGAAAGACCCCCTAAGCTTATTTCTACCAGCTTAGGTTAAAAACTTCCCCAAGGCACAAATTCTTCCTTGTCCTTGGACAGTATTGCTGCCACCACCAAGTCAGTTAGACAAAGATTCAGGAAAAGGACCACTTGGAGTTCCTGTTTCCCCAAAATATCCCCCCCAAGCCCCTTCACCCCCTTTCCTGGGGAGGCTGGAGAATAATCTACCAACCAAATAGGTAAACAAGATGGGCACAGACCAGAGCCTTGGGTTTTTAGGACACTAAAAACCAATCAGGTTCTTAAAAGCAGATCTTTATTGTAAAGAAAAAAAGTAAAAGAAGCACCTCTGTAAAATCAGGATGGAAGGTAATTTTACAGGGTAATAAGATTTAAAACACAGAGGATTCCCCTCTAGGCAAAACCTTAAAGTTACAAAAAAACAGGAATAAACCTCCCTCTTAGCATAGGGACAATTCACAAGCTAAAACAAAAGATAACCTAATGTATTTCCTTGCTATTACTTACAATTAGTAATCTTAGATACTTATTTCAGATATGGCTTTAGGAGCTGTATTTTTTCTGCCCTAGTCCCTCTCTGTCCCGGAGAGAATGACAAAGAGATCACAAACCAAAAACCTTCCCCCACAGATTTGAAAGTATCTTCTTTTGGTCAGGTGCCAATCAGGTTATCTGAGCTTCTTAACCCTTTACAGATAAAGGAGGGATTTTGTGCTACCCTTAGGTGTATGTTTATGACAGCCTACCCAGTAATTTGGATTTTGTGGGTGTAGAGCTCAAAGGGGCGATCATGGTCCTTAGGCATGTCTACACTACAATCTTAAATCAACCTATGTGAGGTTGACTTACAGCCACTGCAGTAATTACTGCGGAGGCTCATGTCCACATGACCCTCCTACTGTCAGTGGTGCATGTCGTCACCAGAAGCACTCGCACCGACTGAAGATGGGCAGTGTGTGGGGGGGGCTGAGAGCCAGGGATCTCAGCTTCACACAGCTCCCCACCGGGAGCCCAACTGCCCCCCCTGGACTTTTCACCGCCGCACTCAGTGTCGAGAGTGGGGGAGAAGTTGGCCAGGGCTTCTCGCCTCCAGCTGGTAGATCTGCGCCCAGAGTTGGATTAGCTGCTGTGCTCCTTGCGGGGAGTGGGGAGCTTGGATCCCAGGGAACAGCATGACTCCCAGGAGCCTGGGTGGCAGACCAAGCTGGGATCCTGGGTGGCAGCCCAGCTTGGAGTGGAGATCCAGCAGCAGCCCAGCTGAGGAGCTCGGAGTCAGTTTTCTTGTCCAGCAGAGCCATGAAATTGACAAGACAGCCAACAGCTGAGGTAAGGAACACAGTGTATACACAGACACTGCATTGCCCTAACTACACTGACATAGGCTGACCAGACAACAAGTGTGAAAAATCGGGATGGGGGTGGAGAGTAATAGGAGCCTATATAAGAAAAAGACCCAAAAATCAGGACTGTCCCTATAAAATAGGGATATCTGGTCATCCTACACTGACATAAGCTGTACGCCTCTCATGCAAATGGAATTATTAGTTAGTGTAGTAGGGCCCTTACATCGGCAGGAGGAAGGCTGTATTGTAGACACTGACATAGTTAGGTCAACATAAACTGCCTTATGTCGACCTAACTCTGTAGTTTAGATTAACTCTCAGTGAGACAAAGGCTATGTCTACACTACGGATCTTATAGCAGCACAGCTGTGCTGATACAGCCGTGCCGCTGTAAGGGCTCCAGTGTAATCATTCTTTGCCGGCAGGGGAGAGCTCTTCTGCCAGCAAAATAAAACCACCCCCAATGAGCGGCAGTAGCTTTGTCAGTGGAAGAGCATCTCCTGCTAACATTGTGCTGTCCACTCTGGCACCGTTTTGGTTGGTAAAACTTTAGTTAGTCAGGGGTATGAAAAAACACACCCATGACCAACAAAAGTGTAGTGTAGACATAGCCAGAGACAAGACAAGCAGAGGCAGAGAGAGTCACAGCAAGCAAGACAAAAGCAGAGAGAGAAAGCCAAGGAAACAGCCTGGAAGCACAGTAAATTGGCCTGAAATAAAGCTGTTTTTCCATACAGAGTGCTCGATGGAAAGGCAGCTTGGCAACAGTGAGCAAAGGAACTGTCTCCTCTTTTTGTTTCTTCCTGCATTCAGAGAAGCAGGACTTTGTGCACTCCTTTTAAATAAACAACATACCACCAAAGAAAATATAAGACTTCATTGTCAATTTCTATTCCCAGCAGGAACATCCCCAGAGCCCAAAACTTTGGCTGACCGTTCAGGTCAAAATGGAAAGTAATAATAACAAAAATTAAAGTCCAACAATGGTTGTGTTTGTCTTAGTAACAAAATTAACACAAGTAAAAAATCATCTACTTTCATGAACTGTAGATTCAGATTATGGTACGAAATATGGCCTCTCTATTGTCTGACCCTATGCAAATATTGAGAAATACAGCCCTCTAACTCTTCTTGCAGTCAAATAATTCATCAGCTATTCCATTACAAATTTAGAAACAATCGTGGTGTATCAGGGTACCATGTGAAAAAAGGGATGGGTGGTGAAATCAAATAGTATAGGGCTTATACAACACGGTGTATAATGTTCAAAAATATCCATGTAGACTTACCCTTTCTCTTGCTCACTTCCTCTGCAAAAAGAAGGAAACATTTCAGTGTGAAAATATTTTTGTCCATACAGGGTTTAGCTAAGGTTTTCTATGGAAGTAGGAGTTAGATATGGAACAAGGGAGTATTGGAAGCAACCTGCTATGAGCTATCAAGTACAGGTAAAACACTGGGATATCTCATTATAAGCTTGATTTAAGTCAACTTTTTCTGCCTGGAACTGTTTCCTGAAAAGAAAGAAGTATAAAGATCCTGATACATGGAAAATCCTGATGGATTCTTATCTATGTAATTGCTATGTCACCTACATAATTAAAGTTAACGGGGATGGGGAGAGATATTGCATTACTTACAGCCCTCCACTGGGACCAGAGAGCAACAAAAAGCCAACTGGTAGAGAACAGGAGAGGAGAAAAACTTTCTTGCTCATCTGGCTACATCCTGATTAGCCTTGGGCCCCATGAAGTCTGTCCTAGGGTGTGAAGAAACTTTTCACTGATAATTTGTTTATGGAGGGAGTGTAATCTCAGATAAGGGTGGATGGGGGTGCTGAAACAGGGGATGGGCTCTTCGTTTGCTGCTACTGCCCTCCTCATCCCACTCTAACAAGTTGTATTTGGCTCTCCAGCTGCCTCATGAGAGCATTAAGGGGCAGACTTAATGCTTTCAAAGAGCTGGCCATGAGGGGGCTGGAGAACCTGGTAAGTCTTTCAGACCAGTGTGGGGTTCTGATGGACTGTGACAGGGAGCCTGGTCTAACTGAAAACACTTCTATAGGGGCCAGGGTGTCTCGACTCCAGAAATCCCCAAGGAACAGAGGGATTTATCACAGGGTGGGGGGCGCTACACTTCGCACCCATAGTCCTCTCAATAGAGGCCTGGGAGAAGCATTTAGTGGGGAGCAGCCAGCCGGAGCAGAGAAATGGTTTTACAATCCCTGGAACAATGTGCCTGAGGGTCCAAGTATTCACATGAGAGAGCACTGGCAGCTGTCTGCAGCTTCACACTATATTGATAGAGTTTTTGGGTGGGAATTACGTCATATGAATGGTTCATTCCTGCTGTTTCAAGGCACAGCTAATATCCGACATCTGCCAGAGGTAGATGGAGGGACAGAGTTTAGGAAACATAATTTTTCTGTCCTACAAACATTTTGACAGGCTGCTGGTGAGCTGAAACTGTTGCTCATCTTGCTATCCAGTATTGTCTCATTTTTTCATTGTGCTCCCCGTTTGTTTGTATCCCTCTCTTGTCTCTTGTTAATCATTTTTATCAGCTACAAAATGTGCTAAATAATGAAATGGGTAATAAATATGAAATGCCAAATCTTATGTTTTGGCTAATTTTAAGCAAGTGCAAGTGTAACCCACACCCCTCCTTGGTGTGGTGTACTGTCCCATTTGGTGGCACCGAGACCAAATAGGGAGAGTTAAATGAGTCTGCTCTACAGCCTAACCTAACAGGCAATCGGCTTTTAGGTCATGCGGTAGATAATCATGCACTAAGCTCCAGACGTCCCCGGTTCAATCCTATGACCAGGGTCTGTTGGCGTTACATTTACTCTTCAGAAATTGGACAGAAATATTCAGGTCTGGGAAACACCCCAGGCATGTATGGTTTCCAGGCAAGGCAGATCAGTGTGAAGTTTCTTGGCACCGTAACGTGCCCCACCACCCCCAGTTCCACTCAGGCTGGCCCTTAGGGAAAATGTCACTCTGGGAGAACTTTTATTTTGGCATACTTGGCACCTGCTGCCTCCTTGGGCTCCCCTCCTACCCTCTATAGACACTGTCCCCCCTCTGCCTCTCTGGGCTCCCAACCCACCGCCCCATCACCCCTGGCCTCTGCTACCTCTCCATCTATCCCACCATCATCCCTGACCCCTGCTGCCTCCCCAGGCTTCCCACTCCCCCATCACCCCCAAACCCCACTACCTACCCCCCACCCACCGCATCAATTCCTTCTGTGGCCTTGCACCCAAGCCTGCCCTTCTCCTTGCCTCTTGACCATGTCACTCCCGACCCCGACCGCAGTGCACTGGGCAGTGGCCCCCGTCGCCCACCTGTAAGTCTGGCCCTGGTTCAGAGTAAAGGTGTATGTCATGGGGAAGAGAGGGAGGGACTGCACTCCAGCAATTCCTAGGAAAATGGGCAACTGACTGTAGGTAAGAGCAGTTCTGAGGGAGCTGTTGTCAGCGTCAGTGGCTGGATCCAGAATATGAGGAAGTACAAAGATGGCTTTAAGTCACCATTTCCTCCCTTCCCACCCACAGCAAGTCCTGGCCAAGACACACTGTGTGCCAGAACGGAGAACTGGGGACTGAGTGTGGATGATTTTGCAGGATTGGTCCTTAGGCTGCTACAGAGTCATGCTGCTTCCACACACTTCAGAGGGCAGGATGGAAGGATTCCAGAAAATACAGTGAACATTTGCACTGCCCACCTCCTGTGTGTGTGAGTGAGAGAGAAGGAGAGAGAGAGTGAACCTGTTGAAATTTCCAGGCAGACTTACCCTTTAATTTCTCGACAGATTCTGGAAAAGAAAAACAGCTCTTTAAATACCTGCACATTGTTTTATCTAAGGGTACATCTACACTACAGGGGGGAGTCGATTTAAGATACGCAAATTCAGCTACATGAATAGCGTAGCTGAATTCGACATATCGCAGCCGACTTACCCCGCTGTGAGGACGGCGGCAAAATCGACTTCTACGGCTTTCTGTCGACGGCGCTTACTCCCACTTCCGCTGGTGGAGTAAGAGCGCCGATTCGGGGATCGATTGTCGCGTCCCGTTGGGACGCGATAAATCGATCCCCGAGAGGTTGATTTCTACCCGCCGATTCAGGCGGGTAGTGTAGACCTAGCCTAAACTGCATAGTTACAAAATGTAACTGATTTTTATTACAATCCATATGTCCTGAGAAATACGTTCCAAACCATTATAACACACTGTCAATTGTTAATATTATAGCATTTCTTCATTAAATTATAGGATTTTCTGCACTAAAATCCATAGCTTGATATGTCCCTGTGGTTCACCAGCAGTTTACGGCTAGATTTTTAAAGATATTTAACTGCCTATCTCCCATTGATTTCAATAGGAGTTAGGTATCTAAATGCCTTTAAAAACTAACCCTTAGTTCTCTAAACAAAATTCACAGTTATTGATTTTAAAACCCAATGTCGAAGTGAATTCAATGGAGTATATTGGAGTAAGGCATATGTGGTTCTGTTAATGGGATCAGACTCTAGGCTGTATCAAACCTAAGCTGCTACAGACATTTATGTGGACAGGATGAAGTAAAGATTAACAAAAAAGACAATAAATATATGTATATCCTGTTGAACATCTCTGATTAAACTGCTCAAAAATCCATGCAGACTTACTAATTTCCATCTTGACAGATCCTGAAAAAAAGAAACATATCAAAGTGTCAGCACTTTGCTTTATCCAAACGATGTCATTATAAAATGTAACCTGATTTTGTCAACTAAAAATTGTCCTAAATGATAAGCTACAGAAAAACAATACTTTGGGGATTTTTACTAGATAATATTAAAACATTATCACCATATACTCCTATTATGGAGGCGCACTGGTTCCAAAATAGTTAAGGGTGAAGATAAGATCACTTTTTCAAAAGGTGATTTTTCCAAGTGCTCTAAAATCCATATATGATCATAGACTATCAGAGTTGGAAGGGACCTCAGGAGGTCATCTAATCCAACCCCCTGCTCAAAGGGGGACCCATCCCCAGGCAGATTTTTGCCCCAGATCCCTAAATGACCCCCTCAAGGATTGAACTCACAACCCTGGGTTTAGTAGGTTAATGCTCAAACCACTGAGCTAAGCTGATGGTGCTGCAGTGTACCTTAACGGTATTTCCTGGTTTTCAGGTGTTTAAGTATAATTTGCACGTGGCAATGGTATGGATTGGTATGAGAAACTGTGCATTCACAGTGTTTAGTCAGTGAATAGTGCTCTTCCAGCAGTAGGTGTCATAGTGTTTTATAAAGGTGGGTAAGAAATTGTATCCTCATGTACATAATGGGGTTCAGGAAGTGGGTGGGTGTAAGCCCGCTCACTGCTAAAGGATCCCCCCCCGCAGCCTAAGGGGAGGACCCACAGGGCCTAGAACCCAAATGATTACGGGGGACAACTAATGTAAAAACAGGGACAGGAGTGCAGTCAAAGGGTCAAAAGAAGGGAACCTGACGGGGACACCGAACAGAGAACCCCGGACAGTGCCCACTGCTCCTCAAAGTGTATCCTCATATAGCAGGGTGGTTACCCTGCTCCTGCACTGAAGGGTTTGGAACAGCCCTGGGAGAAGGCTGGTTTTTTGTTTTTGTTTTTCGAGGGAACTGTCAGCATCTTAGTGATAAGTTCAGGAAGCACATGATCAGGCAGCAGAGAAATTATATGGTCCAGATCACTGTAGTAACTGAACAACTTGTAAATGTCTAGACAGATGGATACTCATTGAAGAGACCACAGGCAAGAGTAAACAGATGAAGTTGTTGGAAACTTCCCCTCCATGTGGGGAAGAAATTGGTTATGGGTGGCAAGCAGCAGCAGCAAAAAGGCATGGTGGAGATGAGGCTCCCCCCCTACAGAGGAGAGCATAAAAAGCATTGCTGTAGGGTGGTGTAGTGAGGCCGTATTGGCGAACCGGGAAGTGGGCGGGCTCAGCCGCCCACTACTAAAGGCCCCTCCCCCAGCCTAGCGGGAGGGACCACTGGACCCAGTACCAAATGATTACGTGGGACAACTAATAAAAAAACAGGGAGCGAGGTGACGGTCAGAGGTTCAAAATCAGGGAACCAGATGGGGACACCGAGCAGAGAACCCCGGACAGTGCCCACTGCTCCTCAAAGTGTATCCTCATGTACATAATGGGGTTCAGGAAGTGGGTGGGTGTAAGCCCGCTCACTGCTAAAGGATCCCCCCCCCCAGCCTAAGGGGAGGACCCACAGGGCCTAGAACCCAAATGATTAC